GCGAGATAGATGGACCCGTGCGAAGCGGGGGCGGGCCACTAGTTGTAAATAAACGTACCGCAGCCTCAAACTGGAGCAGGAGAAGGAAGGGGGTAGCTTTCAATCAGTAAGACTCTGACACTCCTTCTTGTCCCACTCTAGTCGAGAGAACCAATTTAAATATTTTCCAACCTCAAAATAAGCATACAGAACTTGTGTCTTATTAAGCTTCGAAAATTAGTTGATAAACTTTATAAATATTTCTTTTGAAAGTTGATGAATCTCCAACAAATATACGAAACGAGGTGACTGTGGTACGATCTCTGATGAAGAACAGACTCTTAGTGCAGCAGTCAGGGCTGCTACATGATCATCAGCCTGATGTCGTCCATTGCTGGACTTAAGCCTCTACAATTACACGCCATTTAGCTTGATGTTCAGCTCTACTCATCCACCCACCCTGCGGATGTCGTCAGTCCACCTCGCTGTCCACTTCACAGATACATACTTACCTACATATCGCATGTTTAATAAAAACAAAAATAACTCATTAAAGAGGGTACTTCAAAATTGAACGTTATTATTGAAGCATAATTTTTAAGATTCAAATAGCTTGTTTTGTGAGTTAAGCCTCTTTTCTATTAACCATACGATGTATTGTAAGCTTGTAAAAAATAGTTATTCTATATTTATTTTTCATACGGAACCGATGACCTGTAATAAAAATTAAAAATCTTTAGGTATTGTTTTGTAAACATGCATTTTACAAAGAATAGAGCCGAAATGAGCAAGCGATTGCACCTTTGTGGTGTGCTCCGAAGTTTAAAAAAGTCTTTATGTAACTTGGGGTATTTAGAAACCACGTGACGAGCACGATACGACATTGAAACGATTAAGAAGTATAGAACTAAAAGTGTGTATTGAATTTTGGACTTATAATACGAAATCGTTACCTGATGGTGAGCAATCGGCGCCAGCTATAAACATCTGCAACACCGGGGGAACATTGATTGCGTTACTGGACTTTTGGAGAATACGGTTTTTGAAGTTTGGCGAGGGATTCGAGACGGGTAGGGTTGGAACTCCGGTAGTCTCACTCACATGGGGAAACAACGCTGTGGTAGTTGCACGTCGGTTTTCTGTGAGGCGTGGTATCAGTCCGGTCGACTCAGCCCATTTTTGCCGAAGCACGACTCTTCCACAATTTGCAAATATGTACCTATACTTATTACTTTACGAGCCGCAATAGAAAGATAGTAAGGTGCGCGAACGCCGGCGTTCGCTAGTGATCCTTCTCCAGATCGGTAAAATATTTTTTTTGCAAAAACCTCTTCTACACTATCATTACACGTGTTATTAGAGAAGAGCAATTATTTAGTTAACAATGCTCATATTTTTTATTTAGCACATATTTTTATTGCAGAGTTGGATTTGAAGAAGCTGAATTTGTCGTTTTAAGTGTAGGTATAATACTTATTACTTTTGGACTTGATTGCTTTGTTAGTTGATGAGTCAGATGTTGGTTTGAAGAAAATCTTAGATATTGGTTCGAGTCCACGTCATACGTACTATATTACATAATAGCTTTTGCCCGCGACTTTGTTCGCGTGGAATAATAATAATAGTGACTTCCTGCAGAGTTTTGGTATAAAAACTAAGTATCCTATGTCCTTTTTCGAGTTCCAAACTATGTCTATACCAAATTTCACACAAACAGGTTCAATAGTTTAGGCGTGAAGAAGAGACAGTCAGGCAGACAGAGTTACAGAGTTACTTTCGCATTTATAATATTAGTTTGGACTAGCGACCCACCCCAGCTTTGAACGGGTGCCATGCTGATACTTTGGTATCATGTTTAATATTGTATTATTTATTGTATTCATTAACTTATTGTAAGCGTAGGTATCTATTTATTTCTGCATAAAGAATCGTGTTTGTTTCTTCCATTTTCTTTCCCCTTTCATATTTGTTCTAGGACACTGTGTCCTTGCTTTGCACCAACCACATGATTTCTCTGCACTACGCTATGGCTGACTGTTAAAGAATGCATTAAGTCCGCCTTTCAGATTGTTTTGTGTAAAGAAAAATTAATAAAATAAGATTATTAATATTTCTTTACACGATGCTATCAAGTTAAGTTATGTTGGTATGGCGCGCAGCATTCCGCGTCTTAAAGACCCAATAGACCACCTCAGACGGGTCCCTATAGGGCTGATGTTTAGCCGGGGTTGCGGGGTAAGCGCAATGAGGCACTGCTGCCTCGGCCTAGACCAGGAGAAGGAACGGGGGCATTTTTAAGTAAGTAAGACTGTCTGACACTCTCTCGTTTCACCCTGGGCGGGAGAAGTCATTAGATGATTTTCTTTTTACAAAAAAGGTAAAAGATAAAATGCCATAATAAGTCGTATCGTCACGTACGTGAAACTTTCTTACGATAAGTCGTAACGTCACGTCTGGACTAAAAGTCTTTATCCTATTCAAACATACTTAGTAACAATGTAGCGTTATAATATTTGCTCAAATGGCGACAGCTTGATTTAATACGAGAACGACTTAATTAAGTGCAATTGAATGAAATAGGATGACAATGCGTTCTTACAGAAAGGAGGTTGGAGTGTTTGAGTTTTGTTAATGGTTGAAAATTGTAGACGACGATGAGTCTAGGTTAGATCCAAGTCTAGTTTTATTCTTGGCTTCAATTCGAAATTAGTTTAAATTATATTACGGATACAAATATTTAAAAAAAAATCCAAGGCAAGTACCTATATTTTTTAATTCTACTAACATTTTAAGCGAGACGTGTTTGTTACTCTTTCACGTTAAAACTGCTGAACGGATTTGAGCGAAATTCGGTATAGAGATACTTAGATAATAATATAGTGCTGAATAACACATTAGGCTTTTCAGGTTACCTACTGGGGACGAAGCCGCTGGCAGTTTAAATATGTATAGTACGATAAAACTTTGTCTATGTCGTCAGAAATAAACATATCCACGTGCTCGTATGTACATTGAAAAAATATCTTGATTCCATATTCTTTACCTTCATCTAATCATTTCAAATCAATTACAGTTGGTTAGAAGACTTTAAAATGTTCAGGTAATTGGTCTAATGTGTCAAAAGTCAAAAATCATTTATTCCAATTAGACCTTTACAGGCACTTTTGAACGTCAAACAAAATATAAAATAAAAAAATAGTGTCAGTCTGTCGGTCAGTCCTCTTAGTGAAGCTATTTGCTCGTTCCAAAGTGTAGATTCCGATGGAGAAGAACGAGCAAGAAACTCCATGGTTACTCTTTTTAAATCAGTTTCACATACAGATTCCTTTTACAAACAGTTGGTTCAATTATGTGAGAACAGTGTAACACTAATATTTATTCAAATATAAAAATAAAGTAACCTTAAGGACAATAGACAGTCTGGAGCTGACCAGTCCCAACTGACGGCGCTCGTTCACGAGCATGACACGTACACCAGCATCGCCCAACTCAACCATATTATAGGGAATTAAGCGATCCAGTGCCCATGCCACCGCCAGTGTGACCTTTCAGTGAGCATGACAACTCCAAGCTGTTATAAGGACCGACATTCTGCTAGTCTAACCAATTATAATAGGTTACAGGGCACTCACATTTACAAATTTATCAAGTTATAGTTATACAATATAATGCAATTTCACTAAAATGAAGAAGTCCCGTTCAAGCAAAATCCATTGGAACGTTATTTATTTTGGTGTACGTTTGCTATCCTGTGGAGCAGGACCAGCATGTCTCCAAGCATCTTTATCTACAATGTAATCATTCAGTGTGTAGTATGCTTTTCTACATAAAGTTTTCTTTACACATAATTTAAAATTTCTTTCATTTAATTGTTGTATTTCGCCTGGGATTTTGTTATAACATTTAACACAGAATCCCATGAACGACTTATGCACCTTTGCCAATCTAAATAATGGCTGACATAATCTATCTCTATGTCTAGTTTGATAATTATGTCTATCTGACACCTTATCGAATATTTTTAAGTTTTTCCTAACATACATAATGTTTTCATAAATAAACTGACATGGCACGGTCATAATATTGATCTCTCTAAACTTTTCTCTAAGAGACTCACGACGCCTTAGATTGTAAATAGCTCTGATGGCACGCTTTTGCAAGACAAAGATAGACTCAATGTCAGCAGCCTGTCCCCACAACAAGATGCCATACGACATAATGCTATGAAAGTAGCTGAAGTACACCAGTCTTGCAGTGTCCACATCTGTTAGCTGTCGGATCTTCCAGACAGCAAATGCTGCAGAGCTCAACCGTCCTGCCAGAGATGTGATATGGGGCCCCCATTGTAGTTTGTCATCTATGGTTATACCCAGAAAAGTAGTTTGTTTTACAAATTCCAATTTATTACCGTTTAATAATATGTCACATTCGGTACTTTTAACATTTGGCAAACTGAATCGTATACATTTAGTCTTTTTGTCGTTTAGGACTAAATTATTAATTGTAAACCAATTATGAACCTTCGTTATAGCATTATTTACGTCGTCATAATGTGTTTAGATTCGCCACAAACAACACGTTGTAAGCTCAATATAAAACAATAACATTTGCTAAAAGTGTTTAACAAACACATTAACGAAAGTCCATCGACTCGGCGACCTGTATCGCCCACCACTGTCACATTCAAAATTAGCACCCAACCGTCTGATTGACCGAGAAAGACTTCCACCCGTTACGTCACAACCGCATGATTTAATAATGTCAGCTGGAAAACATATCGTCGCATCGAAAATATCCATACCACAGCACAAATTACTAACCCGTGATAGTCAGAAACCGCCTACATAACAAACCCAATTGTTTCACGAAACTGAAAAATGGCGAACCTACACACCAACCAATAAGAGGCGGTACCCTTCAACACCACCAAATACCCCCATTGGACGATTCCATCTCTTTAATTCACCTCAACCAATCACAAGGCCCGACGGAAGTTCAAGTCAAACCAGTTCCATTTTAGCGTTCGAACGGCGCGCACGCGTTTAAAATTTGGTATTGACGGCATTTAAAAAAAATCGAATTTCGAATTCTATTCGTGTTGTATGCCAGTGTGTTTTGTTTAGAGGTGATTTTCTGTGTTCGATTTGTAAATTCGTAACGGTTTTTTTAGTTTTGAATAGTAAAACGTAAATAGGTTGTGTTTCGTCATTGGTGGGGATATTATTTTTAGCATTTAGCTTGTTAAAGCTGTTGGTGTGATGTGAGACGGATCTTAATTTAGCAGTGCACATGAGTGTGAGTATGCCACGGGCTGTCTTCCTTATTTTTAAAGTTCGCCAGCCGACGGCAGCCGCGTTTTGTTTAGTGCTAACCATTCACATTGAACGAGGAGACAAAAAGCTCCCAAACTGTAAACAAACCTTTTTTTCTGTCTCATGCCGATGTTTTGAAGATTAGTGAAGGTTATCAGATGGATCTAGGCTATCCCGTAAACAGTTTATAGCGTAAATAAATTATAGATAAACAATTTAAAATACCTACTGATCTATTTCAATAACGTTGCAACTCTTCCGCCTAACATACGGAATACAATCATAATAAAGACAGACATTTGAAATTAAGATCATTGATAAAATTCGTTTTATTTAAGCTGATAGTAACTTAATCAGATATTATGAGAAATGTCATGAATATAATTAATAGCAACAGTATAATAGTTTGTCTTTTCGGAAGAATATTCATGATTTTTCTGGATGATTAAAAGTTGCCAACGTGGGTCATCTAACCATTTATCTGCTTATAACTTTTGTGAGTCCATTTTGAAATTAATTAAAGAAAAACCCCTTTAATTTCTGCCACTAATGTGTTATATTCCATTATCAGTAACTAGTGTTAGCGAAGCATTTGCCTCCTTATAGTTTTATTACTTGGCAATTTAACTTTCTGACAAATTTAGTTATAGGCCTTGTAGCTTTAGTTTAAAATCAAAAAGAAATTGTGCTAAACTGTTGATTGTATAGGAATGATTCGGTACGATAGATAAATACTGAAAGCCATTATAAGAATGATACAATTAAAAACAATGCGTCGGAAAATACTTCTAACTAAGGTTGTAATGAGAATAGGGCATTTTTCAAACGGACAACAAGTCACTTGTGACTCCTCTAGTGATGGATCTAATAGTGCTGATCAACTACCATCAGGTGATGCATGTGGTTGTTTACCCATTATCCTATAACCTAAATAACTTGGCTAAGCATAATAACTACATAAAATACGACTAAAAGTTGTCAATGCAGATTTTTAGTTTAAAAAGTATTTTAAGTCCTTTCTCGAGTTCCAAACGATGTCTGTACCAAATTTCACACAAATAGGTTCAGTAGTTTAGGCGTGAAGAAAAGACGGAGAGACAGAGTTACTTTCGCATTTATAATATTAATCTGAATTACACATAAAACTATCTACAGCACCTTCAATGACTAATGGACGACGAATAGTCTGGCAAAATATTTAGGTAAATTCGTTTCGGTTGGATCTCGAATATAGAAATCGTAATTAATAAAGCAGGAACAGCTGTAATACGGCCGTGATTTATTATAAAATTCCTCAAACAGAAAAAACAACAATGTATCAGTTGAATTAATTTAGATACTTATTTAAAAACAAACCACAAAGAAAAAAAATAAACGAGCCAAAAGCCCAAATGTAACAGAAGAAAAAACAAAATATCTGTTTTCCAAATACAAAATCAAACTGAGACAAGAATACTTCGAATTTAGAACGCCCATAACTTCCGCTTGAATGATGTTATACACCTCTTTGGTGTTTAACATCATAGACAATTTCTTTGTTCTTCAGTTTTCCTAATGTTTTAATTTTATTATAATTTTATGAGTTCTGTGTAAAATTGGCCGTGTAAACTGGACGTCTACGTGTAACGCGCTATTTAATTTTTATGGGATAGTTAAAGGATCCAGTATTACATGACAATGTTCTGAATTTCTTGATTTATTTTTATGGAAATTAATATAGAATGAACACCATCTACAGAACTGGCCAAACTGAACTGGCTCGGTTTTAAAACTAATTCGTTTTGCTTGTGCCTTGAAAATATTACAGACTAGTTTCCGCCCGCGTGGTATGTTGATAAAAAAATCAGCCTATGTGTTAGGTAATCTAGGGTCCATAGTATCTACATAGTTTTATGTTTCTTCCGTTTTCACGTGAAACAATAACATTAATACATCAATGCTTATTTCAACTTAGAAAGCCGCCGGTGGCTTTATTTCAGAAACAGATACTACATATTATACTTAACACAGGCAGACAGATTAGTGTCGGTCGGCTCGACAGCACTGAAAAACGGCGTGAAACAACCACAGCGTTGTTTCGCCGTGGTTATCGTAGGCCCAATCCTTCCTCTCCCTCAATCCCTCTTCAATCCCAAAATATCCAAAATCCTAATCCCTAAAAGGTCGCCAAAGCACTCGTAACTCTTCCTAATTTTTCGGGTGTTTATGGGCGGCGTTGATTGCTTACCATCAGGTAATCCGTCTGCTCGTTTACACAACAAAGTGCCCTTACATCTAACTTTTTCGATATGTAAAATGCCTGATGTCATGTGGTCATGCACTTAAAATAAGTGCTTCAAATTATTTATTAATCAGTACTTAATTATGACTCAGACAGTCATTATAATTAATTGAATGGTTGAATGGACATTATGAGTTCAAATCTGGCCAGCCATGATGCCTAAATGTCGCATCCCGATTGAACTGAACAGAAACCAGTTGTGTAATTTCGTTCAATTTGTTTTATCTCCATAACTGAGCCAAATTGAATAATTGGTTTTGGTTGAGATTATTACGTGAAGGTCAGAATTTTAGGAAAAGAATAGGGGAAAGAATGGAAAATGTCATCAATCCCAAGGAGGCCGAAGTATTGAGCGTCGGAAAGCAAGACTGAACCATCGGAAATAATGGCAATTCCGTTCTTGCGAAAAAAGTTCTTGCGGAGTCACATAGATCGACGACATTGTTCCACAGATGGTAATTTGCTGGGCAGTACTCCGCTAGTTTGATCACCTCGCCTGGTCGGAAGATCCTCTTTTTCCGACATCAGGGAACTTTACTCTGTTCCCTAAAATCTAACACAATCCTGTCGTTTAGAAAAGGATCATTATCCGTTCCTATTGCTGAAGGTGTATATACACAACGGTTCTATACCGAGGGTCGTGCCAAACGGCCCAGATACATGTGTTGGCAGACCACACTACAGACAGATCTTAATTTACCGGTATATTAATCTGCGTTAACGTTACGTCATATAATATGTTAAAACTCGTTTAGGTTTAAATGCTTAGTGACGAAAAGACTTCTCTAATTAAAGGAAGAATAAAAGAGATGAGAGGCCTATCATTAGAAATCATTTTTTTGTACAGCTTTATACTATCCATCTACGTCGTGCTTGTGTCTGTCTGCTATGAAACATTTGTCAATTTAATTGAACTCTGCCAGCTAAATTTCACGATTTGTTTTTCATACTTTAGAAAACGTCACCACGATGTCTCTCTATGTTGTACTGTTTTCCATCAGATACCATAAGGCAATGGAAGGAAAGATTCTTAAAAACACCGACGGTTTCGAAAGAGTCTACCAATACGGTAGTTTCCAACTAGTCAAATTCAATACTTTTATCCGAATGTCAAAAACGATACTTTATATTATTATATATTATTTTTGCGTCAAAAAATATCAAAAACATTGCATACACAGATCGATGAATAAAAGTGTAAATAGTTAACATCGAATTAATTTCTTTTTGACCTAGGAAACTATCCTATTGCAAAAAGGCTGATTATCAGTTTGTGAAAAAGATCACTTACTAAAGTTCCAATGAAGGATAACGGAGAACTAAAGGCGTGAGACGTAAGGCTCTCTTTCTCAACTCTCACTCGCTCTCTAAATCACGGTAAAGTGTCATAGTGGTGGGTACCCTTTTCCAAGCCAAGACCACACGGCACGAACGATACTGCCTTATGAAATTATAGAAGTGTCCACCAATAAATAAAATTGCTTTCTGTAACTTAATCGTTATAAAGGTCACGATGAAAAAAGTTTCGATGACGATGATAATGTTTTGGAAGAATTAAAAGAATGTCTTAGTGACTTTATCTTTTATGATGATCGTACGATCGGAAGAAATTGGCAATGTTATCTCAACAACAAAATTTTTACGAAAACAACAGATTGAGATGACATAACCTAACAAAATTTCGGACGGTTCGATTTATTTTTTTGAATTCCAGAAATGTTTTTTAAAATAAACAAGACGTTGACATCCAGAAACAAACCGTGACATGTCACTTTGAAACTATCCTTCGATATGTTAAAACCTCCTTTTTGTCCAAAAAGATTGGAGATCCCTAAAGCAATGAAACCGAGTTTTATCGGGCAATTAATTAAAATTTTCAATAATATTATCCGAAAAACACATGTTACGATGTTCCCAAGTTTATTATAAGCTCAGGGTCGTAAGTCGTTGTGTAATATGGCCCTACATGGTCATTAATTAACCTCCTGGAGGTTTTTGAGACATAAAAGAATCATTTTATGGGTTCTTGATAAAATCTGGGGTTCAATTGAGTTAGGCCTATTCGAGCGTTCAGTTGTCCAAGCGTCCGAGTCGTTTAATTAATAGTTTTGTCAAATCGGTTGAAAGAGGTTAATGTTTTTTAATTGGAATTTAAGCTGCGTTAGTTGGTTTCTTTTAATGTTTATTTATTTCAATTGCTACTAGTGAAGCATATTGTTCAGTTTTATCGGGTTAAACTCCTGGATGGGGTCAATAATAATTATTGGAATTGTATTTGTGAAACCATAATTGGTACGGAATCTCTATTTTTTCATTTTTGGCAATGAACCGTATTTTTATGGGGCATGTAAATCATCGAACTCAAGTAGGAATAGTGGGTTTGATTGGTAGGAATGAATGGTTGGAGGCTTGGTTCTAAATTTATAATAATTTTGTTCAATTGTTTACCAAAAAGGTTGATGGTAAAGTATTCATTGATCTATCTGATTAATGATTCTTATCGTACCGTATATAATAAAATAAAAGGATCGAGAGCACTCACATAAACAAATTAGTCTCAATATTTCTAGACTTTACTCAAATATACTAAGAATAAGATTAAAAATAGGTGATCTATGCGTTGCTAGTCTATTTGGATGAATGAAAGAAATATTTTTATCGTGGGAGATCTTAAGGAATTTGTAACGAAAACATTTCCTCTTTTTTTACCTACTTTATAAGTACCAAGTCTAAGTTTAAGGAGATTAATTGCATGATCAGAATGGTTCTGCGAAGAAAAACTTAATATATTTTTAAAATAGTTCTAATTTTTGAAATTAGATTTTGACAAAAACTGTCTCAAGACTTCATGGTTGGCCCTGCCCAGTGGCTGAGTAACCGGTTGCCATACAACTTCGATTCCCACCCGCACTCTTTTTGTGATCGATGGATTGCTGTTTTGAGTCAAGATGATCATATGTATCTATGTTTCTCGACACAGGACAAAATCCTAGTCATGAGCTAAGTTTTTTTACAGAAGTAGTTTTCTATTCCTGGTTAGAACTGGGCCGAACGAAGTACCTACGTCATTGCGAATGACCCGGAACATTGACACTTATGGCCATATTGACACTTTGGCCCGATGATAGTGATCCAGAAACTTATAGCAACGAATGGGTCGGCTCGACCGCAGTGATGATACCACGGCCTCACAAAAAACCGGCGTGAAACAACCACAGCGTTGTGTTTCGCCGTGTGAGTGAGATTACCGGAGGCCCAATCCTTCCACTCCCCCAATCCCTCCTCAATCCCTAAATCTCCAAATAAAGGTCGGCAACGCACTCGTAACTCCTCCGTTGCGGGTGTCCATGGGCGGCGCTGATTGCTTACCATCAGGTAATCCGTCTGCTCGTTTGCTGACCTATTACATAAAAAAAGCATAACTCAAACTCAGCAATCATGCTTATATCCTTTATGACCAACTAGCGACTCGCCTTGGCTTCGCCCGGATTCAACGCTGATACAAAAATTCTCCACTATTTCATGGTTGTTTTATAAACTAGCTTCCGCCCCCGGTTTCGTACGTTGATAAAAAGTTTTGCGTGAAACAATAAATAAATATATTAAAGTAGGATATAAAACTACCTCTTCAATCACTGCCAAACCAAACCGCATCAAAATCCGCTGCATAGTTTTAAAGATATAAGAAAGAGCTACTTTGTTCTATCTATACAATGTAGTAATTAGTTAATATACCTATTATTGTTATCAAATAAGCTTAACTTAAATGAATAATTCCACAATCCAACTTAAACGCTTATCAGACATCCAATTAATTAATTCAGTTATTTTATCAAAACGAAATCAGTCAAAACAGTATTTAATCTCGAAAAAAAAATCAGTTGACAAACTCAAAACAACCGAATAATTGGTATATCGAGGATCGAATCGCTAAATAGTGCTGTGATTTGTTCGGCCATCGTGGAGTGGTAAAATATCGATAAATCTTCGGTTTTACAGCTGGTGTTGCACGATAAGGATCGCGGTCGCCACGTGGGGTAATAGTGATGCGGCCTGCGATGTCGATTGTCGTTATTAATGTAATATACTGTGTAGTGGCGCCAACAGTCCGGGCTACGAGAATGTTAATTGGGGAATTACAAATTTTATCGTATCTTTATGATTGGACATCACTAGTATGGTGTTTCTTGGAAATATTGGTATTTGCAAAAATCTTTAACAAATTGTTTATTGATTAATTTAATATTCGCTTCAACTGTTTTTAATTTCATTTGAAACCTTTTTAATGATATTAATTTTATAACAATACCGTATTAACTTTAAGCCATACTTTGGTTCATTATAAAAGTTTTTAATAATGTTTCTTTAACTTTTATTATCATACAATTAAATATCCTAATAAATTCTCCCGTATGTCCTTTATCAAAAAAAACCCAAATTGATTTTTTAAAGCGTAAAATAAAAACATATTAGCATTTATAATATTAGTGGGAATTAATGTTATCTTCTGAATACATATGTATGTATTTTTATGTTAACATTATATCATTTTAGAGATTGTTATCTATCACTAAATATTTTATGTTTCATAAGCTAATTAGTTTAAAATAGAATGAGCGTACCTCGTTTCAATCTGATAGCCATCTTTGATTTTGATCATAGACAAAGAAGGTTACGCAAATATATAGACAATAAAAGTTTTGGCCAGTTTCAAAGAGAATTAAAAAAAAAATTATAAATATTGATTTCATAAATATTTTTGATTACCATCAAGAAGTGTTTAAAATGTTAATTTAGGTATCTTAAAGTTATTTCAGTTGACGAATAGGAGCCATTTGGAATGCTTCCAAATACGTTACAATGTGACTACAAAACGCAACCTAAATTTCTTCAATGATTCTAAATTTAAAATGTATTTGAGAGAAGTTTTGTGACGCCCGATGTTTTTAACAAAGTGACCCTATTTATTTATTTATTTATTGCGATTTGCTTCTTTTATTCGTTTTTGCAGAAATTTTCCATTGTATCTTTGTTTGAATTTCTTGATATTACAAAACAAAAAAAAAACATTTTAACGAAATACATTTATCGGCCTATTCACGTAACTTTTTGCCGAAGTACCTAATTAATTATGTACCTAGATTAACTTCTAGTCAGAAAAAAAACTCATGATTGCATTTTTTATTTTTATAGATAGGTTTATCAGATGAATAGAATCTATTCCGATTAAAATTGAGTAAACAAGGTATCATTATTCATTTTTACCAAAACATTTATGAAACCAAGAAGTTACTACATGCCTACACAAATGTCAACAACCTTTTAAAAAGGTCCAATCTAACAAAACAGTTTCATTGTCTCTATTATACAATTTATCCGCTAAAACTGGCAGGAGACAAAACAAGAAATAAACATCGACAATAAATGTACATCACTGTTAACCCGTCAACTCCATATATCAAGGAGCCCTCCATAAAGATCGTGTCGATGATAAAAATTACTTAAAACACCAAACATTTAACATCATGCCCCCTGACGACCCTCCTGCATCTCCCTCGCACTTTATCGCACCAATAAAACGGAAAGAGACAAAAATAGAAGTAAACTTTGTCTTTACAGAGCATTTTAGGCATTGTAACACAAATTTTTCGATTGTTTTATAAGATTTTGTACTAAATCTTGCGTTGTCGCGTCACTGAATCTTTGTAATGCTTCAAAGTACGTGTTGGTATGTTTTTTTGGTGATAAAAATATGGAAAATTGATGGTAGGTCCCCTTTTCTGAAGATTTTGTAGTTGATTGCGATGAGAAATTGATTTAATGTGCTCTGACTGTGGGGTTTTATGTAGGGGAAGGAATTTATAGAGAATTTATTAGTTTAAGTGGAATCCTGTTAGAATACAAATAAATGTGAGGAAGTTTTATATGTCAAAAGCTTAGTTAGTTCAAAGTATCTATTTTACCGAGTGATCGTTCAAAATAAGAAACCATTTTAAATTGTCTGATAGGTACCTTTCATATTTTTATCATGTTAGAAAATTTAGAAAATGTTACTCATCATAATACTATCTCATTTATCAAAATAATGCCGTTATGTAAAAATGAGCTTAAAAATATTGTTATTATTGCTGTTTTTTAATCATCGTATATTTTCAAGGTTTTAGTAATTCTATGAATCTGAAGTATTGCCAAATGTTTGTTTACTTCGTACTTTTGCTATGCGTTGGAATAACATTTTCAAAAATACATTTGATTTAAGTGATATTAGTTTTAGCGTAGACTAATGATAGACATATTCTCACATAATTTAACATACGCTGGATAATATTCAAATTTAACAAGTTAAAAAAACTAATTTGTGTTAATTTAACGTATTACATTAATTTATATATCTAAACATCTCACTCAAAAAGTAGGTCTTTCAAAAACTTGTGGGTGTTCTTCAAGGTTCTATTATTGGTCCATCCGTAATTCTCGTTAGTATTAGGTAATGATAAATTTGTTTCGTTGCACTCAGTAGTAGTATGTAGTGTTTAATTTCTGCCATGCTATACACCTATAGATAGACTATTATTCAATTAGATAAGACAATGTTACGCTATGCTTTGTCCAGTACAAGATGGAAAAGCTGTTAAGCGACTGTCAGATTAAATGATATAAAAATAAAACTATACACTTACATTCATGCAGACAATATTGTCCACAACAGCATACCATACCATCTTACTAAGTTAACGTAAAGATAATGTTATTTAAAAATGAACAATGAACAATTGTGTTTGAAAAAGTTTTGTTAATTAAGGAACACAATACGGAATAACAATTATGGAATTATTTTAAGGATTCTGTTTTTTGTCCTTTTTTTATTAATTACTTACCATATTTCGTAAAGTTCTAATTAAAATTATTTTTGTTGTTACAGGTGAATGCAGTAACCGTCAGCAGTAATTAAAATAAAATGAAAAAGAAGAGAAAACCAATATCGGAGTAAAACTTAAGAAACCAAAAATAATTTAAAAAGCATTTATTTAAGATAAAAACTGCATGGTGTAAACGGACTTTATCCAGACAGAGACTGGTAGTGAATTAAAAAAATAAAAATTAAAAAGAATAACGTCAAATACAACTCACTCGTATTCATAAACAAACTTCAAACCATTTTTGAAATCGGAACACAAATAAGTAATCGACGTTTAAAAGGTGATCGCTTTTGTTTACACATTTTTAGGACTGCCGCCTTTTTATGTTTATTTAACGTTTAAAGTATTTTCGAAAAACAGTGGGAGTGCAAATATTTGTTTTATAAACGTACTTGATATATCGAACTTTGAAAACGTTATTGAAAAAGCAAAAGCGCGGGAAAGTGAATGACAGTTCGTGCAGTTAGTGGGAAATCCGCCAACTTTGTTAGTTTTTCTCCGAAATTGGTGTGAAATTGCATCAAAGTGGCTGGAGACGAGCATTTGGACATGTTGGGGGGCCCCGAATGGGGTCAGCGGGAGTCGAGCCCCCCAAGAGATGCTCCCCTGCCGAGTTTCGGCTTCACACAGGAGCAAGTCGCGTGCGTTTGTGAGGTAAGCTTAAAAAAAGCACAACAGTAACTACCAACTAAAATTTTTAATTGATTATTATTATAATTAGTTTAAGAGTTTAAGCAATAATTATTATAATATTAGTTTCTCAATTATTTGTATGTGTAACTTCTTCGTTATAGACCTGGGACTCACCGCTAAACAAGATTAGCAAAATTAAAAAGAAAAAAAAAACAAGAGAAACACAAATACTTTATGGTGCATAAAAATAGGATTTTTTTTCTCAATGTAGGTACTCATAGAGATATTCTTAACCTACAACGAAGATTTTAGGCCACCGTGAACTACGGAGACAACTGTAGTTAGAAAGCTAGATGTCTATAAAAATACTGTTGTAAAAGCAACGAAAATTTGCTTAATACATACATGGAACATATTTAAATGCTACATAACAGGGCGGCCGACGTATCTTGGCGAGTCTGAAGTTAGCCAAAATTGTGTACTGCGCAGCTAATCGGCTAACTTCAGACTCGCGAAGGTACGTTGGCGGTATTGTACATGTATCCAACGCTCTCAGCTCAAGGAATTCACTTGTTTTGTTTAGTTTTACGTAAGTGCGTGTTTTATGATGGCCGCGTACAAAATGACGTGTATTTGTGTTATTTCCACATCTACCTACTGCCCGATATTTAGCTTTTCAACACATAGAAGTAATTTATATTAAAATAAACATTTTATTATGGTTGTTTTTAATGAAGAAGTTGTTATTTCGTCTCTGCTATCTATTCCGGAATGAATGGATGAGAACGCGGGTTAGAAACTTGGCAAGTATCTTTGAGACTTTCTCTGAATTGTATGTAGGTACTTGCTATGATTATTTAGACACCACTAGTATAGGGTGACGGAAAAAATCGGGAGGAAACCTGAACTTACCTACGTATTTCTAATTATACCTATATGTAATTTTGAAAGCGCCAAGTCACTTTGGTACTGGACTGGCTACCTTAATCCCCAGCCACTACAAAACTCTTAACTGCAGTGTGATTCTGTAAGACTTCATTCTAAACTTCGAATCTGAATCCGCTGTGAGTATTAATACACTGGCGCTACACTTGCGAGTTGAACTAAATTGACAGCAAAATTTTGATAGATAAAGTATGAGATGACGTTAAAAGTGTCATTCTAAAATTTAATTTCCTCGTCACTTCGCGCTCGAACACGATTCAAAATCAAACAAATTTTATAGAATCGACGCGCTGTTTATATGATCCTAAGGCTATTTTATTTTTCTATCTGACACTTTTGAACCAAACTTTATAATGTGCAGTAGGGCGGGAGGGAGTTTCAGACTCTTACTGACTACCTATAATTTTTTTTATGAAATCGCTAATCCGGCTTGAGCAAGCGTCGTGGTTAATGCTCAAACCTTCTCCGTGTTCGAAGAGGACTTTGTTGAGCAGTGGGATCTTATAGGCTGATCATGGTGATGAATCAGATCATACGTGTGGGAGAGCCATGCTTCGGCACGAATGGGTCGGCTCGACCGGAGTGATACCACGGCCTCACAGAAAACCGGCGTGAAATAACCACTGCGTTGTGTTTCGCCGTGTGAGTGAAGTTACCGGAGGCCCAATCCTTCCCCTTCCCCAATCCCTCCTCAATCCCTAAATCTCCAAATCCCTAATCTCTTAAAGGTCGGCAACGCACTCGTAACTCCTCCGTTGCGAGTGTCCATGGGCGGCGCTGATTGCTTACCATCAGGTAATCCGTCTGCTCGTTTGCCGACCTATTACATATAAAAAAAAAATACAATGAACTAAATATAACATAGCTACTCTTACTTACATTAAAAATCACGTATCACAAATCCCAGTAAAACAAACAATCAATTTAACGGTTAAAACAATTTAGCCTCAGTTTACAATGTAGTTGAACTTAGGTATACACTCAATACTAAGATTGAAACATAATTTCAACCTTATTCTTTAAAGTATAAGGAATATTTTTATACCGTTACAGTTGTACCAAAGATCACATCTGAATAGCAACCCTATTCGTCTTAAATATAAGGGTGATTTTTATACTTTTCAATTACTAGAACAGCTGTGTTGGTATTCTCGGAACGGTCAACTAGATCTAATTTTAGTTTACTAAGCAAAAAGGTATAATGCACTGCATTGTGCTTATTTAAATTTAGCAACGTTTTAAGAGCTTTGTTTCCTGTGGTGATATGGTTTTAAAGAATGATTTGAATTAGTTCCTGAGCTGTATTGTAACCTTTTTGGTAGTACCTAAATCTTGAGACGCTTGGTAACTGTGTGAGCCTTTGTTCAGTAGTAGAATTCTGGTGATATGATGATTGGTTTATCTATCCTCTTTATACAAAAAGTAAGCCGTTTACCTGCGCAATGGTTCTTTTAGGACCAAAATTGTGTACTGCGCAGCTATAATCAACTAACTTCAGACTCGCCAAGATAAGGCGGCCGTACTGTAAGGTATGTAAACTCTGTGGATGAAACTATTTCGATAAAGATTAAGATATCCTTATCGTGATTCATATTAGCTTGCAACTAATGGATAACGCAAGAAAATTTACTTAAAATGTGATTTTTTTGCAGTAGAAAATCTCCCAAAATCAACTAAAACATCTCGTCTTTACCCAATCAGAGCCATTAGATTGGGCCCTATCTTTCTCATTAATCCCAAACCCTCCCCAAATCTTCAAAGCCCTAATCCCCAAAAGGCCGGGAACGCACGTTTCACTACAATGGTGTTGCCCATGCATTAGCAACAGAAAATCCATCTGCTCGTTTGCCGACCTATCGCATAGAAAAAAGTACCGAGGTAGTTTTTAATCTGTGCCTTGTACCTCTTGCCCTACCCAAGGCATAAGAAGTCATATGATATCCCCAATCGAAGGAAAAAAAATCTAAATAAGTGAGGGATGGTAGTGTCTTCGGCACGGTCGCCACGACCGGAGTAATACCACGGCCTCGCAGAAAACCGGCGTGAAACAACTACAGCGTTGTGTTTCGCTGTGTGAATGAGGTTACCGGAGGCCCAATCCCCAAAAGGACGGCAACGTACTCGTAATTTCTCCGTTGTTGCGGGTGTCCTTGAGCGGTGCTGATTGCTGACCATCAGGTAATCCGCCTATTCCCGAGTTATATGTACTTCCTATGATTATTTAGACACCACTGACATACGGTCAAGGTAAACAGTGTTGAGGAAACCTGCACTTATAATTACTTATTATAAGTTTCGCATTGAGCAAGCGTGGTGATTAATGCTCTAACCTTCTCCGTATGAGAAGAGGCCTTTGCTCAGCAGTGGGACACTTATAAGCTGATGATGAGGTAATCCGCAATCACGCTTGCTGTCCTATCTCTTGAAAAAATTGTCTGTGAGACATCTTTCATTGAATTAACCGTCTCACACTTACAGTTTAACAAAACAACAGACTAATGCAATCAGCTTCGTCCGTTACTTCAGTCTGGATGTAACCAGTTAAATCTAGATTTAGCGTAGACATTACTTCCTAAGTCCGAGGACGCGTTGTTTAGTAAACACTATTTCCTCCTTTATCTAGGAACATTTAGTTATAGTAAACAGTTTTGTGTATAAGAAGACAAATAATAAAATGATAATAGACTGTCATTGTTAGAATTTCTCTCTATCAATTTTCGTGATCGGTAAAGTATTATTGAGCCTTCGCATACTGTTCTGTTTGTAAGACAATGTCGAATTGTTCGAAAGTGTCACTTAAAAATCATATTTTAATTTTTTTGTTAATTTTGTTTAGAATGTTAAGTGCGGTAAGCAATGGGTAACCGCAACACTAAAGGAGTTATGAGTGCGTTGCCCGTCTCTTGGGGATTGGAGATTCGAAGATTTAGCGATTGGCGAGGCGGAATTGGGCCTACAGTAATCTCAAATCACACGGCGAAACATAACGCTGTGGGTCTTTCACGTCGCTCGGTTTCTTTTGAGGCCGTGCGTGGCTCCTTCAAATACATCGTCCAACCTCCCAAATTCATCGATCTTGGTTTTTATTGGACTACTGCAGAAAGAAAAATGTAAAAGTAGCAGTCTAGGATGCGAATAGTTCAGTACATCATTTAAGAATATCACTGCTGCAGTGCAAACTTCTAAATCTGTCCTCACAGCGAACGGTCACGTCGTACATTTCAATATTTACATTGGCCATTTGCAATCTCTTACTAAACGTATTTTTGTAGTCAGTAGCTATAGAGATTTTTTACAAAGGAGTACTTATTTGAGGCTGCTTCCTAATCTGGACAAAAGAATACGAATAAGTGACTGCACGGTTGGTGCGGTGGCTAGGCAACTGGCTGCCGTGCAACGTGTCGCGGGTTCGATGCCCGCACGGAACAACTCTTTGTGTGATCCACAAATTGTTGTTCCGGGTCTGGGTGTCATGTTTATGTGAAATTGTATGTTTGTAACAGCACCCACGAAACATCCATCCATAGCATGGGGCAACGTTTTTATTTTTAAAAAATAGCTTGAGTCAGCCTAACGGCTAAGTAATTTTGTGGTAAATAGCTTTTTGTGGGGGAAAATCATCAAATTACTTCTCTCGGTCCTTTTTCTGCTCTTGGTTTTTTAGCTTGTCCCACAATCCTGCTGCTGCTGATGAATATCGACCCTGTAGGCACCATCTGCGTTGTTCTGTATCAGGTACTTTGGTATCGTCAAGGTTCGAGTGAATATATTACTTATGGATAGGCACGCTCCATCGTAGGTCGCATCATCGCTAACTAAGGTCTTACGCCTGCCGATTCATCATCATCATCAGCCTGTTATCGTCCACTGCTGGACATAGGCCTCCCCAATTGCACGCCACTGAGCTCGATGTTCAGCTCTTCTCATCCAACCACTGCCAGCCAACTTGCGGATGTCGTCAGTCTACCTAGCTGGAGGGCGCCCTACACTACGTTTACCTAGATGTGATCTCCACTCTAGAACACTCTAGATGTGACCTGCCCACTGCCACTTTAGTTTGCTAATCCTTTTGGCTA